CAATAACTGAGTAGTTTTCAGTTTTCAATATTTGATTTATAATGAATTTAGCCCGGCACATATTTGATATGTTGTGATCATTATCCATTTGTTTATGTATTGCAATTTAGTTTTTTTTTTTTCAAGAGAAGTACACATACTTGATACTCACGCTATCCTCCTCGCGCACAAAATGCGTGCATGGCCAAAAATGAACTGGAGATTGGGGAAATAGGTGGGGGAAGTGGAAAGCATGAAAGAGGAGCCGAACGGTGCCAATTCCAAATCAAGCCCGAAAATGAAAAAAAGGTTTCAAATTTTTTTTTTTTTGATGGAAAAAGATGGTTTCAAGTTAGTTGTGGACAGTAGTGGCCGTTGAATTTGGAAGGTGAGATTTTTTTTGGGATTTTTATAAGTCTTTTTTCTCTCATGAGCTTTAAAACAATATAAGTTGTGAGGGAATTTCTATTTTAAAGTTACATGACATATTTCTTAGATTTTAAAAGCCTTAAAAGTTACATGAGATACTTCTCATGGATTGTAAATGCGTGAACTCTACGCGTTAATAAAACACCAGAAGTCTGTGATCAAAATGCTAACTTCTTTTAAATGCCAAACCGACGAGAGAAATGTACAAAAGATATTAATGTGATAATTTAACGCATTTTCCAAGTTGAAAAGAAAGCAAAAAAAAAAAAAAAAAACCCAAACTGATAAAAGAGAAAAAAAAAAAAAAAAAAAAAAAAAAAACCCAAACTGATAAAAGAGAAATACCTTTAGGACCCAAAATATGGGACGGAGGGGATATGTAAGATGTTCCCTCCCTATTGCATAACGAGCTGGTCATGCTAACTAATTATACAATAGGAGAAAGACATCTCATCTGTCCCCTCTAATTATCTTATATTTTGGGTTCCTGTATTAGCCCTCCCAAGATGTTACTAATAATGCCCATTTGGTTAACTTAGCCCTCAACGAGTCCAACGATGATTAATGAATAATGACAGTGAGCTACTCACCTAATACAGCCGCACTCACAGCCGAGAGGGCATGCGAGTAAAATTCCCGACTCTCCTCGTCAAAAACCAAACTAAACCTCCGACGAGCGGAGAGGGGACAGATCAAACCACCAAACCCTAAAAAACCCAGAAAAGGGTCGAAAAAATAAAAAAAAATAAAAAATGGACCGATCTCGCCTAGCAGCGAGCTACACTACGACCACGCGACTCCGACGTCCAAACCCCTCCCCCTCCCCGCTCCCAAACCCGCTACGACGGCGCCTCGCCGGACTCACACACCAGCTACCGCCACTACGCTCCCGCCGATCGCCGCCCCTCAACCACTCCCATCATCCCATCCCGGCGCGGCGAGCGTCGAGGAGGAGGAGGAGGAGGCACCGGCGGACAACCGCACACCTTCTATCCTAGCGATCCTGTCCCGACCTCAGGCAGTCCGGCAGCCATCAGTCGGCAAGAACGGAGCATCAATCACCCAACTTTCGGCGGGAGGACGAGCGCATGGATAAAAACGTCCCACCGGCCCGCTCGTCCGCTGGCGGATGAGGAGCGGATCATCGAGACCCTCGGGAATAATCGCCGCCGGGAGCCGATGGCGCCCGCCGATCTACTCGCCGGCGCAAGAGCTTTGTTACTGGTTCATGAAAAGTGATATTGATCTCGGAGACTTACAGGGGAGTGGTTAGACAGGACGAAATGGAGGAGGCTGAAGAGGGGAGAGGGAGGGAGGGAAGTGACGACGAGGCTCGTGGTGCCGAGGCTGCATGTTGGGTGTTTGATGGGGAAGGGAGGGAAGATTATTGAGCAGATGAGGATGGACACGAGGACGCATATTAGGATACTTCCGAGAGATGATTACACGCCAAGGTGCGTGTCCATGGCCGAGGAGATTGTTCAGGTAAAAATGTGTGATTGAAAACGAATGTTAAGTTTTGATGGAATTGGAAACCTTTTACTAGTTTGAAATTGGGTCTAGGTCGCGTTGCGTGAATTGCAGCTAGGTCATTTGGTGAAAGGTGAAGAGGATTAGACTGAAAGACATGAATTTTATTCGCATAGATTTGGAGTGTTAATGGCAATGAGAATTAGCATCACATGGACTACTTCATATTTTGGGTTTATGTGCTGCGAACTTTCAGCAGTCATTATGAAATTGGGCTTTTATGATTGTGTTGAGAAATGAGAATGCATTCTAGTTAATGTGAATGCTGCTGCCTGCAGGTGAAGTTGCAAGGTGATTGAAAGAGAGTTTTAAGTTTTGAGGAAATTAGAAATCCTTGGTAGTTAGGTCCAAAGAATGTTGAATGAATGCGTACATAGATCATTTGGTGAAAGATGAAGTGTGACAATTATACTGCAAGGTTTGAATTTTATTCATATGGATTTCAAATGTCAATGACAAGGATAATTAGCATCACATGGACTACTTTATACTTGGGTTCTGATATTGCAGAGTTGCAGCACTCAGTTAATATAAAATTGCTGTAAGTACATGTTCTAGTTGATGAGAATGCTGCGGTTGCAGTGTTATTGAAAGAGATTTTTAAGTTTTGATGGAATTAGAAACCATTTAATAGTTTGAAAACAGGCTTACAGCATGTTGTATGATTTGCACATAGGTCATTTTTTGAAAGATGAAGTCTGAGGATTAGACTGAAAGAATTAGCAACCTCTCAATAGTTTAATTAGGTGTACATAGTGCTGCATGGATGTGTGGCTAGGTCATTTGGTGAAAGTTGAGTTTGAGATTGGATTGCGGGAGTTGAAATTTATTCATATAGATTTCAAATGTCAATTGCAAGGAGGATTAGGCATAATAGGAACTTCATATTTCAAATTTTCTTATTGTTAATGATCACACTCAAAAGATAATTATGATGCTTCCCTGGGATGATTACTTGTGTGTCAATGGCCGAGAAGATTGTTCAGGTAGAATTCTATAAAAAAGCGATTTACCTCCTATTTGAAGTTTCTGATGTGGTTAACCTGAGTAGTTGTAAACCAAAATGAATGGATGAGGAATTCACCTTTAAAGCTGTCCTCAGATTTATACTTACCTCCCTTTTGAAGTTTTGATCTCTTACTTTAATATGCTGCTGACAGTTACAGAAAGAGTGGAGTCCCTTATTTAATGTCATTAAGTGTGCTGATGACATTTTAACCATGTTTTGTTGTTCTATAGTCTCTAACTAGTGACTGAAATACAATTGTTATATGAGATGGAAATTGATTCTTTTTCTTTATTTTTCCATAGGTTGTCGGAGAAAGTACTTGTGTGAAAAAAGCTGTAGAAATAATTTCAGCTCGTCTAAAGGAGAGTTTGCATCGTGATCGTGGTCCTTTTCGAAGATTACATTCACAAGATTATTTTCCACCTGACGATGAGTATGTTAGTGGTTCACATCATCAACCACCCGTGGAAGGACTTGATTTAGAACCACGCTCTTCTCTAGGACAAAGTAGACCTAGGAACATTACCTCTGGCTCACATCCATCTGGATATGCATTTGATATGGATGCTGATTCCATTAATGAACGTCCACAATTATTGCCCTATGAAGACCTTGTATTCCGGATTCTTTGCCCGAACAATAAGGTTGAGGATATCATGGGAGCATCAGATGGAATCATTGAAATGCTTCAAAGTGAAATTGGCGTAGAAGTGAGGGTTAACGATTCTGTGCCTGGCTGTAGTGAAAGTGTTATTATCATCACTTCGGAAGAGGTATTGGCCAATTATATTATTTTCTTTCTCGATAATGTAACTGCATTTAGTCATTATAGTTTTTGTTGTTGTTCAATTTCTGTATACCTCTTTTGCTTTCATGTGAATTTATTCTCTTTCTGAACATTCTCTTTTTTCAATGATGTTATGCTCTTTCTCAGATATATAACTACATTCAGTTGTCTGTGTGAACTAGCTGTCCAATACATATATGTCATTGTTTACCATTAAGCAATTTTATCATATCTGATTTCTGATGCTCTAATATCATTTTGATCAATTTTGTTTGGGTTTTCTTTTTCTGATGCATATATTGCACACACAGGCAAGTAAAAGCAAATGATTGGTGCTTCTTGTTCATTGCTTTACATACTGTGATCATATTGAGGTAGATGACTGATCATCTATGGATTTCATCATTGCCAAACGCTTTTGGAATAATGGGGCTAGTGTTGAATTTTATATGGATGTTTTAATGAACTGCTTGCACAGCTTTCTCTTTGTTAAGAACTTTGGGAGTACTGATCGCCACGATCATCACTGTCGTTGGTTGTCTCTACTAAGTGGGTCATGTATGGAGCTAAAGCTGTTCATCTATGTTGCATGCACAGATATGCAGGAGCATGTCATGACATGACAGCACACAGGAAATTATAAAATATACTTTATAAAGTCTTCCTTTTAAATTGACCAAGATGAAAATTGCTATCAGTGGCAAGAGTTGCGAGAACTTGGAGAAGATCCTGCTACAATTGTGTCTCTGAGAACACGTTTCTAGTTGCCATTTTTCGATTGTCCTTTTAAAGCACCAGTCTTATTCCTCGACAAAAAAGGGGAAAAAAAGAAAAGAAAAAAAAGAAAAAAGAAAAATAAAATAAAAGAAAAAATGTCGCTTTCACTAGGCTTCAAATTTATAAAAGATGACTCCTTATGTGAAGTGCCAATGAGTTTAGTTCCACATCGGTGGGTAAATGAATAATTGAATGGTTTATATAGTTAAATACGAGGTTTAAGTGTAGCATTGGCCAGTCGACTTTGGCAGTGGTTTGAGTCAAACAACGCACTACACTTAGTGAGTCCATGGCTTACACTGCATCAATAGGTTTGTTGGCCGAAGACGTGACAAATGTTATCAGAGCAGTTAGCCAGCTAGAAATGTGGAGCTAAGTGCTATGCGTGACTAAATGTGACACTACATGACCGCAGTTGGAGTCACTTCTAGAGCATGTAGGAGCCACTTTTAAAGTCCATATCGCCTAGCAGTGATATTGGGATGTGCGAATTGTCATATCGCGATGAGGACATCACGAATTTAAGGTAGGGTGATTGTGCAGCCCCTAATGAGTTTAGTAGCACATCGGTAGGTGAATGAAGAATTGAATGGTTTATACAGTAAAGCATGAGGTTCAAGTGTAGCATCGGCTAGTAGATTTTGGCAAACACGTTCAATTCAGTGAGTCCCACAGCTTACATTGTGCCAATGGGTTCGTAGGCCAGGGGCGTGACACTTTATATGTGCCATATAGGCACAAGTTAGAATTGCCTCTATATATTAATTTTCCTTATTTGAACTTGTCAGCTCTATTTTTCTTTTAAATCACCAGCCTCTCTTTCATTAGGCTTTATAAATCAAACTTATAAAAAATAATGATTGCTTGTATGTTCCAAATAGGCACAACTAAGAACTGCCTCTATGTATTAGCTTTCTTTATTTGAACTTTGTCACTTCTATATTTAATATTCTTGTCTGTGTCTCAATGGGTTCCCTTTTGCAAACCTTAGTTTAACATGCAATATGAGTCGAGGGGAACCTTGACCTCAAATACTCAGAATTGTCAATTTAATTTGCATTGATTCCTTAATCCTTATAACCTTCACTCAGTTTTATACTTGCATGTAGATGTGTAAAAATAGTAAACATCATCCATCAAAGTTATTAACATTGATTTTTCCAACACTTTTCTAAGTTAACCACATTATACAACCAGATATGAAGAAAGTAAGGTTTTTCCGAGCATACATGTAATTTCATTATATATGCAGATGGCTAATGTCAAACCGCTTTTAATTATGAACATCTTACTAATGTTGAATTTAAATATTGATATCATAATTCATATCCAACTGTAATAGCTCAAAGGAGATCTAACAACAGGAAATTGAAGCGAACTTAACTCTAATCTTCTGTTAAGTATGTTGTGCATAAGTTGTCGAAATTGAGAAGTGACTATCCATGACGAATCAATTGATTTTGGTGTTGTCTGAGGTTCGCTTCATTAATTTTAACCGTAATGTCTATTCTCTTTACATTCACGTCTGTTGTCTAGCTTCTAGGACAAGTGGCTAGAGCTTAACACTATAGTTTTGATCATATTATCAGACTTGACTCTTTTTCAAATTGTAATTCTTGTCAGTACTTAATATGAGCTACAAAGAATACCTATAACTTTATGTTAGTTTTGTTGAACTTTAAAGTTTCCATTCAATTTTGCTTTTTACTCAGATGTTTTTGTTTATTATTATTATTATTTTTCGCAAGTTCTAGTTTCCTTTGTAGAGAGAAATTTCAAAACTTTCATTTGATTAATTGTCACCTGCGTCTTAGCTGTTACCACTGAGAGTTTGACAAGAATTGTGTATTCTCTACTGTGTGCTCATCTTTTGCCTGGTCATGTTTTTGTAAGTCTTAAATGCAGAAAGCAGAATCATTCATAGGAGTTTTAGCAATAGAGTTGAGATCTCTAAAAAAAGCTTTGATTGAAATGAAAGTCATAGCACCTAGTTGAATTCCAATTTCACAATTCTTTGTTACCATAGGTCATGCTTCACAACACGTCATATACATTACAATCGAAACTTGGCAGTGATTCTGAACACGTGTCCTTCTCTTGTGTCTTGTACCTATTTATTCTAAAATGGACTGCTAGAGAAATCTAGAAAAAGTCCTTTTGTCCTGACAGCATCAATAAGTTTGAAATACCTAAGTCTAAATATGTTTTTCGTATAATATTGGGTGTTCATAAAATTCTCTTCTGGCTCTTCTTCAAATCTGGTACATGTAAGTTCATTCATTATTATGAAATTTAATACTTTTGTTTCAAAATTGTTCTCAATTCTCAAATGTGTTTACCAGGGTCCAGATGATGATCTTTTTCCTGCTCAGGAAGCTTTATTGCATATCCAAACACACATTGTAGATCTTGGTCCTGACAAGGATAATGTCATAACAACAAGGCTTCTGATTCCAGCAAGTGAAATTACATGTCTGGAGGGAAGAGATGGTTCATTATTAGATATACAGAGATTGACGAATGCTAATGTGCAAATATTACCAAAGGAAGACCTTCCTCCTTGTGCATTGGAGGCTGATGAGCTCATACAGGTTTGTAACTGTTATGCCTGTGGAAGTGTGAATATGTTTTCTAATAATTAGTATTTATTCAAATTATTCCAATTTGGATATATTTACATCTCCAAGCATATAGTGATCAGACTAATTGAGACGGTGTGCTTAACCCAGTAGATGCTTACAGATTGTAGGGGAGATAAGAGCTGCTCGCAATGCTCTTGTCCAAGTGACTGCTAAATTACGCAGTTATCTTTATCGTGACATCTCCACTCGTGACGTTTCCACTCCGAAAGATATGCCACCCCCATCTATTTCGACACCAAACCATGCTGTTAATATTGCTGGACCTGGAAGTGATCTAGGTTCTGTTAAAAGTTCACCTCGTGAAGCATACCAATGCAATGAGCCTCCCTCATCAGTTAATCAAAATGTCAATACAACACCTTTCACATGGCAACAGAAGGTAATAGTCACTGATATTCTCTCCAATTCATGTTTAATTCTTGATTCAAATAGCATCAATTGCTTCTCTGTTTTTTCCTATTTAAAAATAGCATTGTATTTCTAATTTCTGGAACCTCACGGCGTGTTTACCTGTGTTGTAAAATGGATGTTGATAATATTTTCGCCTTTTCCTTTTCCTCAGTGCATTCATATCTTTTTGTGTGATAATATATGAGACTTCAATAATTTTAAGGAAAAGATTGATAAATAAACTATTTGGAATTTACTCTTTCTGGGGTACCTTTACTATGTAATACACACAAACAGAAAAATTTAAAGCAGCCTAGGCTGTAAAACTACCTCAAACCTTGTCGCCATCCTGGACAGCAAAACAAACATGCAACCCAAGTATATATGTGAATGCCAAGGCGAGTAGTGTGATAAGGTAGAATGCATGTTGGCAGCGATGCCTAGTTTCATCTTGAGTGGCCCGTACCAACATCCAGTGTGGATACATGTAGACATGGGTAGGATTTGCACTGGATTTGCCATTTATAAATCATGCATATATCAAGTTCAAAAAGACACCCTCACTATGAGCCGCGTTTCATAGGATTCACATTGCTATGACACTTGAACCCATAACCCACTGAATTTTTGCCCTGGGTTATTTAGTTGGAAACGATTTGTCATGAATTTTACGTCCTCTGTATTATGACTCCTTCCCTGTATACCTTTTTAGACAGAAATGATTGTCTTGCTTTCTTCACCCTCAAGTCTTTTGTTACTTCATCCCCACTGTTATGCAATCAAGAGTATTCAAGACTCTTACACAACCTACATAATCTCCAAGTAAGTTGGTGTCAACTATATATTAGGGACTAACTGTAGCACCAGAACTTAGTTCCACATGAAATATAGTAAAGGGGTTATATGCTACATAATAATTTAAGTTCAGTGTGAACTGAAAACTTGATCAACCACACACACGCAAACTCTCTCTCCCTGAGATAGAGAAAAAGAAGAACCCTTACACCACCACCCATCTTCCCTACTTTCTCCTTTGCCTTGTCTGGCTTTCATGGATTTCCAATGTAATAACGACTTCACCTCATGTGAATTTCCTACTACTACTTTTCTTTCTTTTGGGACTCCCTTTCTACTTTTCTTTGTTTATCTTTTCCTTATTTAAATTCTGATGCTCTCTTTAGTTTTAGATTTCCTATGTAATTCTGTGAGCAACTTAATCTATAGGCTCAGTAGACCTTCTGCATCTCCAATCCACTTATGGTTTGCCTCTTCTGCTAATATTTGTGCCCTCTCCTCAAATGGGTCTTATCTTATGGACATTAGGTAACTACTGAAACCTCACATGTAGTCTCTACGGTGTAGAATTTCTTCAAGTTCTTATTAATAATTTTCGTCCTTCTATTTAGCCAATGCTCCCACAATGTCTCCATCAAAACCTCAGTTTTATTTAGTATGTGTATTTTCTATATTCCCCATAAATTTAACCGGTTTTCATCTAGTCTTTCTATATCTGTAGCGGCTTGCTCATTGTTCATTTGACATTCTTTGATTTTTTGAAACTTATTTTTTAAGTCAAAATATACATATGTCATCCCTTCAAACCTGACCCTGCTAACCACCCACCTGCACGCCCCATCACTGCCCTCCTTTCTCCTCCCTTTCTTGTGGTTAGGTACTATCTTATAATAAGTGTTGAGGGAATCGAATTACCTGTTCGATGATTTCGTTCCGTTCTGATTAATTTTCTTTGCTCTTTACTTTCTGCTTGTTGGGTATTTGCTAACACTCTTTTATATTATAAATGTATCTTAGTCTATCTTGTTCTCTTTTGGATTATAGGATAATGGCGATAGTTCAAGTGCATCACTTGAGCAGAAAGAAATTAATGCTAATGATGAAGGAAGACAAAGTGCGATTAAAAGGTGACTGGTGGAACTTTCTTATCTGCTTGGTTTCTATTCCCTACCCTTATGATACTTTAACATTTTTTCCTCGCCCATCAGATTCAGTGCTCCATTAGTTACTAAGAGTATACTCGAAGTCGTTATACCACAAAATGCAGTTCAGAGCTTACTTATGAGATCAGGAAGCAAGCTTGTCCTGATCAGTGAGGTGAGTAAATCGAACATAATTATGTATCAAAAAGTATACATGGATCCCTAGACTCTTCTCTGAACTATTCTTTTACTTGAAACAGATGTCTGGAGCATCCGTTAACTTAATAGAAGATCAACCGGAGCAGACTGAAAAGGTTGTACGAATATCTGGGACCCCAGAGCAGTCTGAGAGGGCTCAGAGCCTACTCCAGGGATTTATATTAAGCAGTAATCTCTCTCTTGCTCTCGTACTTATTTTCATCCTGAAGTATCTATATATACCTCCCATTCAACCTGACATTTCTTTCATTTTCTCGATAAGCTTTTTCTAGTGATGTGACCTCACCATTATCCTTCTTGTTTTTCTTGTCAGCACAAGATGACGTTCCATCAAGCTAAATAAGCGATGGCCATGCTGAAGTTTACTTCCTCAGGAGTACCATTAACTTTCACACTCCGGATCTGTTACTGGTTTTCCCTTCACCAGGTGAATCAAGATATTGGTTCCCTATCTCTCATATAGAAGGTACACAGGGCTTCCATTTGGCTGCCAGCTTAGCTAGTACTATTGCGTGTCATTTACCAATTCAACTGGCTAAATTTAAATGTAACCATTAGAATCCCTGACATGCATCTTTCTATGTGACAACTGAACAATAATATAGAATGCTATCATCTGTAAAAGATTCCTATGATGCCTAAGGTGGATATCTCCTTGAAACATGCTATGTATAGCTCATGATTTGTCCGTGTTGATCTCTCTCTCTCTCCTTGAAAGATAATAGATATTAATTACTGTCTGTGTTGAATTGTTGCACCATCACTTTACGATATTTTCTGATACGACGTTGAGCTCAACTAGCGTCACCCAGTGTTTTTGAGATGACAGAATCTTCCTTTGTTCCACAACTCTTTATTACACATTGTTAAGGGAAATAGTAAAACATCATCAAATCCGTGTCAATTAGCAGATGCTCCCGACTTTTGTTCCCATTAAACTAGCGGATGCTTCAGACGTCCGTAATGCGATCAAACTTGACAAGAATTGATGAAGAAAATCAGGAAGTTGCATGACATGCTTTCATCAGCAACCATTAACTCGTTCCCTGAAAGAAAGATTTCCGAATTTAACCTTGTGCGTTACTGATAATTCCTGTTATCGATTTGTCAGGAGAAACATTGGCTTACAGGTCAGACGATTTAAGATCGTCAATCAGGAAGCATCACTCTAAAAATTTCCTGGACCAACTGTATTAAGGTAGGAAATAAGACATGACATAATGAAGTAATGAACTTCACCCATATGCAGAAAAAGCTTGTACACATTTTTAAGCCTTGATAATCGATATGCTATTTGCATGTGAAATAGTAGCAAAACGTATACCGGCTGTACCGATGAGTTGCATCCGCGATGTTTTAACTTTTCCAATTACTTTTAATATCAATTTGTTATTTGTATAATTAGTTTATTTTAAGTTTAGTTAATCGTATGGATGATGGAGGTGTACTTACCTATATAAAGTATAAATAGTTCTGATAGGGAGGGGGAAAATTATGGCCACTATTTTGAAAGACACTGGAACACAACTGAGAGCAGCAGGCTTGACACATGAAACATGATAGTTCTTAAAAAAACAAAATCATTTTATGCGAGGAAACTATACTCTCTGAAGTGGTTGATAGGGATATTTGGAAAATTTAAATGGAGGTGCACATATTTCACTGATACTAAAAGGCTAAAAGCCATAAGTAGTCCTTAAAGAGAAAATCCTGTAGTGTCTACAGAGGAAACATGCACCACTATTAATTGCAATGTGATTAAGGTCATAATAAAATTAAAAGAAAGGAAGATAAAAATATAGATCAAATAGCAGAGATTCTAGCAAGGGGAAAAAACTCATAGCAATACGATAATATATTTTATTAATCCTATTTAAAGAAGTTAAATGATAAAATCATCCTTGTTATCATTGCACTTGGCAGGATGTTATCTGATAATCTACCCTGTTTGCATCCTTATTCCTTGTATGATCATAGTCATGATTCATGAGTCATATAGAATTTCTATTTTATAATCAATCATATAAATTTGGATTGCTACAAGTAAATTCTGAGACAAACTATCCAAGACATATGAAATTATGAAAGACGTACCTAAAAGAGAGGTTCCTATTTCTTATTTTTCCTTGTGCAAATAAAATCATATAAAATTGGATTGCTAGTTTGAAGTTACTTTGATACAAACAATCAAAGTAAAAAAAAAATACAAATTTATACCAGACAAACCTAAACGAGAGGTTCACATCATTCTCTCCTTTTGTGTTAATACTCAAGCATGTTGAAAGACTACTTATAGCCTGTGTTGAGGAGAAAGACTTTAGCCCTTTGTATTTAGAATTTTCTTATGCTTTGGTAGTGATTTTCTAGACCTTGCAATTCATGTCGTCACTAGATATGGTTGATATGGAAATAGATTGGAACAGTTCTTCTTCTTCTTTTATTTTTTTTTTCCTTTTTTTTAATTTTCTAATTTTTTTTTGGATAAAGTCTGGAACAGTTACTCTGTTACAAAGAGAAAATATCAGATTTTTGTGTGTAACTGCGGTCTCCTGACTTTCTATTAAAAGAGAACAAGGAAAATAAAAGTGCTTCCAATCAAGGGCTGTGGACTGATATTTTTGAAAATAGAGCTGTTGCATTCAGAATCAATATGCTCATGCATGGTTGTTTGGTGGAAAATTTGTAAAAAGACAATGAAAGAATTGAATGTTTTATTCTCTCAATCTTGATTACAATTTGGATTTCTTGATTACAAAAGAGAAGAGAATTGATCTGAATTCTCCCTTTTGTTTAATTATGAGTTCTTCACGGTGGCAACGGAGTGCCTCCCTCGAATGCTCGCGTCGAGTTTGCTCTCCGTTGACGATCCGAACGTCTTGTGTCTGGAACGTGATCTTCTCCTCACGATTTGACGTTGTGGAGAACTTGCAAAGCAAATTTAAAATTAACTCTTGAAGAGTTGATAACTCTGAACGAGTTTGAAACTCTATGAAAGAGTTGATTTAACCGAAATCGGTTTCTAAGCCAAGGTAATGCTCCAAAAGCTTTGTTGCTGCAGGAAGCTCGAAGATGATCTGCTGCCGAGAAGATGATCCGAAGAAGCCGATCTCTAGATCTCCAAGATACTCCAAGATCCAAAAGATCCAAACTCAGTTGAGTTTACTCCTATTTATAGGGGATTAAGGGGTGTAACTGCCCCCTTAATTCGCTCCTAAGTGGGGCTGAATGGGGTGTAACCGCCCCCTTAAACTGCTCCCCAAATCGTAGAGAAAACGGTTTTGAAACCATTCAGTTCGTGTTTTGAACGAGTCAAACGCTGAAAAATATCGTTCAGGGCCCGAACTCTGCGTTTTAGACTTAAAACGCAGAGTTGGGCCTATTTTGGTGGCTGAATGTACAGGTCGCGTTGCGTTGTAAATCTGAAACGCAGAGTTAGGACGCAGAGATGAACTCCGCGTTTTGAGTCCGCGAACTCTGCGTTTTTAACTGGAGTGTTGGGGATGAACTCTGCGTTTTGACTCTGAAACGTGTGCATGACCTCTGCGTTTTGATGTTGTAACACAGGGATGACCTCTGCGTTTTGATGTTGTAACATAGGGATGACCTCTGTGTTTTGATGGTGAAACACAGGGATGACCTCTCGTTTTGATGTTGTAACACAGGGATGACATGTGCGTTTTGATGGTGAAACGCAGGGATGACCTCTGCGTTTTGATGTGAAGAGACCGTCAATTTGTGGTCTCTTTTGCTGGAACGTTGCAAATACCGTCATCTTGTAATCTTCATCTTGGCTCCTTCATCGATCTACGTGAAAGTATTCAAATTATAGCATTCTGGAAGTCGTCAGATTGTAACTTTCACCATCAGTGTTTGATGGAGAATCAACTATTTACAGTGATTTTTAGACAACCTACAATTGTATCCTATTATTCTGAAAACTTTCACGTGCACTTGTGTACTTTATGGTTTATGTTAGATGATAGCATATTTGTTGATGAGCCAACATAAAACCTGAGGTAGAACGGTGTAAATATAGAAAAGTTAAGGGTCCAAAAGATTTAGAATTAGTAGGGAAAAAAGCAGGATATAAATGTCTTAAGAACACAATGCAATGTCAAGAAAATAATTGCTTGGGAAATACTGAAGAATGACCATTTCATTGCTTAGGACTGACCCTTTGTCATAATGCTGAGCACCTAGGAGGATGTTATTCATGCAATTAGTGTGATTGCAAGCGCTGAAGTTCTTGTTGTGTTGGACGAAAAATTCTAGAAAACAGTGACGAAGAGCAATGCTTTTATGTGTTTGTAATGTTTAACTGTCATAATGGCAATAAGTTTCTTTCTTTTTTTTTTGGTGGGTGGCGGGATAAAAGGTGTTTCAACTGTGGAAGTCGATGATAACTTCAATTGGGAAAGAGCCAAGCGAAAATCTTTAAAAGTGTTTGAATATGTGGGATAAAGACTAGTGTATGTTCATCTTCTTGTAGATGCGCTCTTTTCCTTCGACAAATTCTGTTAGTTGTTTCTTTACTTCAGAAACATGGGTCTATTATTTATCTGTGACAAGCGTAGAGGATATTGAAGTTTATGCTGCAACTATTTGATAGATTCTGAACTTTCAGGTTAACATCCATATGTTCTTTGTTTAGAGATTCGACATGATTTATATTATGTCGTGTTTCTCATCTATTGTATTCGATGGATATTATCAGCTATAAAGCAATAGAGGAGGATTGCACTTGATAGGCTATATGAATCCGGAAAAGCAGTAGCTTGCTAGATCAGTTCATCTCGCAGTAGCTTGCTAGATCAGTTTATCTCGAGATTATCTATCTGAGGACCATTTAGCAAACAATATTATCGCTTCAAAGATGCAAGTTGAAGGGCAGTTTTGTCACAGTTTTGTTATGTAGAAAACAGCATTCCCTTGGACACCATCTCTATGATTATTCAAGCATCTGTTTGTTGCATCAGGGTTCAAAGTTGTGTGTTTTTGTTAGTGTTTGGCAATAATGCGCAATTATTTTCCTGGTTGTTGGTGAAAGTTTTTAATTAATAAGTACCGGCTGTGATATGCGTTTCCTTTATCCTGATTTCTAGTCCTATTCTCCAAGAAGAATTTTCCTTGATAAATTAGATGGATATTCTAGATGTTGTAGTAACTTAGCTTAATTCAGTAGTTTGTTCTTAATATATTTTCCCCCCAATATCAAGTGCATTAAGTTTTTGTGCTTAACCAGAGTATCCAGGCTTCGAGCATTGACCAACCTCTTACATGTTGTGGTGTTCCTTCATCATGAGCTAATTAATTACTGAGGGCATTCTTTTCTATCGCATCGAAATTTTCAGCAGACAGTTTATTGAAGAATAAATAATAATGCTTGCATCCTCTCATATACGAGAAGTGTCCAATACTTTTGATCGATTTGTATGAATATTGCGTCAAAGGAATGTCTGCTATTGGCTCACTGGAGTCGAGGACTTGTGCATATCTTTTTGGTCGGTTGTATAAATTTTGCGCCTAATAAATATTTACTATTGAATGGGCTCCCTATAGAAACTTTATTCCTCAAATTCATGCCGACTTTCATCTTTATTTAGCTTGTCCTTCCTTACTTTAATATCAAATCAAAATCTGACTTGGAATCAAAACTAATCTGAATATGAATCATTAATGAAGATATGTCGTTCTTTGAAAATTCAAGGGCAATTCTGATTTGACCAAAAATGCACGGGACCAAACAATGGACCATATAACGTGTCATTGATCTAGGATGGACAAAATTTTGAAAACACCTATTTTTTAAATTTATATAGCAAAATCGACCGTTTCTCAAGAAAATTAGCAAAATCAATCATTTTCAGATGAAAAGGGTTGGTTCTGTTGCGGTGTTGTTTTCGAACTACACGGGACTACTAGTCCCGTGTAGTTAAGACATGCTAATCTAAGATTAGCATGCCAATAGACGGGACTAGCAATCCCGTCCATTTCATTGCCTTTTAAATACCCGCATCAGTGACCCCCCTCAGTTGCTACACCCGTGACTGACCCTCCCTTCAAACAGCGACTCGCCCTTTTAACCCGCTAGTCCCGTACATTTCAGTTTGGCATGCTAATCATATATTAGGATGCCCGAACTACACGTGACTAGTAGTCCCGTGTAGTTCGGAAAACTCTTCCGCAGCAAAACCGACCATTTTAATCTGACAAAGGGTCTGTTTTACTGATTTTTTAGAAACGGTCAATTTTGCTATATAAATTTGAAAAATGGGTGTTTTAAAAAATTTGTCCTTCTAGGATCTCATCTAAATTAATGATTAGTGAAGAAACACATCACTTAACGTCCACACTTGGTCGCGCTATTTTAGGTACAAATATGATTCCTTTTAAGTTCAAATCCAAAACCTGGTAAAGTACTAATAGCTTAGTTGTGTTGAGCATGAATGTACATATATAGCATCAATCGCCTACCAATAGATAGAATTTCTGGTCGAAGTTGTGAAATGGATGATATAACAACGATGATAATAAATAAATAAATAAATAAACGGAATGTCAAGTCAGAGTCATTTTAGTCAATATTCTTTCTTCTTCAATCTTCTGAGTTCGTGGCCTAAGTTAAAAGACATACTTCGTCCAATCAACTACATATATAATCAGCTGAAACCTATATCTTTATTAATCATAAGATACGTAGAAGTATTAGTTCAAATTTTTTTTCTGTAGAAATCACGAGCTTCAGATAATCGCATTGAAAGCGGTCAGTTTTGCCTCAGTTTGGTTTTGAAATATTTTAAAACCGAACGGAACTAAAGATGTTCTGAAACTAAACCGCACCAACATTGACCTGTTCTGTTCTGTTCACACCAATTAATGATCGAACTTATATGCATAAAATGATTTAAATAGACGTTAATTATTCATAATGAAACTTAGCTATATATCGTCAAACAGCGAGAGGTGCAACCGAGGAAACCTCACGTTTTTGCTTGGACTCCCGTCGTCTGCGGACGGACGTTGTGTAAATTATAGCGCCCGGCTTTTTCTCTCAACTGTCTTAAATTGTCCCTCCTTTTTTTCCCCCCCGTTAATGAGAATGTCAACAATAGAAAAATTAACACAGGAGATTGTAATATATATTAATCCTCATTTTTTGTAAAAGAGCCATTAATTCTATTGATTCTTCTTCCTTCTTTGATTTATCATCTTCTTCTTTGCTTGAGAAGCTATAGCTAGGCCATGGCTCAACTCAGCGCAGTTCGAACGGCCGTAGGGATCGTGGGTAATTTATTTTCTTGTTAGAGGGTTGAATTAAGAGCTTTGTTATAGGGACCCAAAATATGGGACCAATAAAAGGGACAAGTGAGGTGTTCCCCTCCTATTTGATTTATCATTAATGATGGCCAACTTATTATCCAATAGGAGAGGGACACCTCACTTGTCCCCCCTATTGGTCCCATATTTTGGGTCCTTAAAGAATTTTTCTTTGTTAATTATTAATAACTATTGTCATTGCTTTCGCATGTCCCATCAAAATGTGAATTTATGCCATATTTATGATGCAGTACGTACTCTTAATTTCCCTTTGAATATTGTATAGGATGTCTACAATTGTGAGGCATAAGTAAATAAAATTAATGATTTTTTTGATCAATATTATTCTTGAAGAAATGGTGAAGATGATATGACCATATATAGCTTAAAGAGTTTGATTTCTATAGTACTTTCTTCAGGGGGGAAATTAACACATCATTTAATTTTACTTGTTATTTCATGTGCAGGAAATCTTATATCACTGGGGCTCTTCATGTCACCGGTGTAAGCATGACTTTCTAAACCCTCTGCGAACTTCATATCACATGATTTGTATTCTCCTTTAATTAAGTGCTGCAACAGGTACTACAAGACAATTTAATTATCCCTTATTCTAACTGTAAATTTTAAAAAATAATTAACTTATTAAGGATATATGAGTCATATTTGAAGCAATAGATGAAGATATCTAGCCGTAAATTATCAATCATATATTGATCGCGAGGGTAAATTTGTAATTATGATATGTTTGTGTCTGTATAAGCAAATAAATCGGTTATTATAGCATTTCTTCCTAATTAACCTCTCTCTATGATCATCATATGCAAACATTTGTGTCCCCAAGCAAGAAGAAGTAAGTAGCGGGTTGAAAATTATAATTTTATACTATTAACAATTGACTTTTGTGTTTAAAGTGTGTTTAAAGAAAGTAGTAATAATTCTCTCCTATTCTCCAGATACTCAAAGGGTTGAAGGGTTAAAGTAAATTTTAGCTAAGGCCGGGTTAACTAATCGAGCATCCCCTCTCTCTTCCTAACTCTTAAAAAGGTTCAAAGATCGAAGTACATATTCGCCAAACATTAACTAACTGAGCAAACTGTAACCGGTTAGCCCCTCTAGATAGTTGTTCGATTGTTGGTGTGACATACATTTAAAACCCCAGTCATGATCAATATATGTCAATAATCCAGATTGTACGCTTCTAGATGCGTCACGTCAGCCAATGATCAGCTAGCCAATTATACATGGAGGGACACACATGTTCTCATATAACACTTCTATCTAGTACTCCTTGAACTAATTAAAAAAGCTAATTGTCGATAATTGTACTATCGCCAAACTGAACTTACTATCCCTATGGTTCAATTATTGCATGTGTTGCATGTAGAGTGCCCCTTGAATGAAAACTTCTTGACCCTTCGGGGAGGGTCTATCTGCAACAGTTGAAACTCTTTCCGGGGGGTTCTATCCAAATAATTTATATCAAACGTATTATAATTTTCTTTCGCCTAGGAGGCCAACATTTGTGTCCAATATGCAAAGAAGAAGGGAGTGGAGTCAGTTCCTCCTCCTTCGCCCTACCGTCGCCACCCGCGCTAGAACTGGACCTCCTCTGGTGCTGCTACGATGCCTCCCCATTTCGTCCACCCCGCAGCACCCCGTCGTCGCTCACCATCAACGGGCGGTGCGTCGTCATCCGAGCTCTGCTACCTCATCGTCTACATCCTCTACTCTCCTGCCAAGCAGAAGCTCAACGTCATCCTCTCCATCGTCGCAGAGGTCGTCGTCGTCGTGGCCTTTGGCGCGCTCCTTATTAGCTTCGTTCACGATGAGCACACTCGGTCCACGATTGTGGGGATTTTGTGTATCGTGTTTTGCATCATCATGTACGTCGCACCGTTGGCTGCCATGGTAAGAAGTAATTCAGGATAAAATTGTAGGGTAATTAAGCCATAGGAAATACCTATATAATAGTAGATTTTAGTTAGTTTTTAATTACTAGACTTCTGAAGAGACAAACTAATTTGTGATTTTTTTCTGTGATCTTAGAGTGGAATGGATTAAAAAAAAAGTTAAAATGTGTCAACGTTAGTGTACGTGTTTTGATGGGTGGTGGTGGAGGTTGGGGGAAGGCGCATAATTAATTCTGTTTGGGAGTTTTTTTTTTTTTTTTAAGTGGGTGATGGTTATCTAAAAGGGATTAGGGGAATGGAGAGGAATTGATCATAATTAAAAAGTTTTAACGTATATATATGGAGATATATAATTTCTTCTTCTATCATCATATGAATCAACAGCTGAGATTTGATTTTGAAACTCTTCATTTTTTTTTAATTAGAACTCCTAAACAAAATGCAACAAGTTCTCTCTCTATTTTTCTTAATTAGTTTTTAACTCCGAAAGACAAGGCGTGTTTCGCAACTTCAAATTAATAACTAGTTTTTAGTATTAATGGATATAAGTATGATCCTAAAACTAATTTTTAGTTTGGCAAAGCTTGGATCAAATTTGAGCTGGTTTTTTTCGGTTTAAAATTTAGCCCTTATAGATTAGCATTCTTTTGGAGCAACCCCTGCACGGATTAGCTCCAGTCTAGTTAAGCAAAAACTAATTCAACTTCAATCCAATTTTGAAATTGCTAAACACAGCCGCACTGTTCTAACTCGGAGAAGAAGGACATCAAGATGCGAGAGAAACAATATATTATAAAAACCAACTCGGGAAAACAAATGTCTACAAAAGTCAGACGCTTATATATCGTACGACAAGTTTGTTTCAACAGTTAGCTAATTATAGTATGTCATTGACAAAGATCTGTGATAGCCATCTCTCTCTCTATTAAAAATAGTAGAAATTGTAATAATCCTTGCCATGTGACTAATGGATTCAGATTCTCTCCGGTATCTAAAAGATAGTGGAAGGACCACTACATAATCGTAACCATTGATTATCCAGTTGGTGGTTGTGATTTATTTTTGAGTGCAAATTCGGAATGAACGTAATATACGGGGGTATGGTGAGTGTTAGATTTAGATTGTATCATAACCGCCTACTAAGTAATCAACGATTGAGATTAAAAGTATTGGTCTCTCCATTACTTTTTTGTTACTTTTTTGTAGTTGAGAGGATCCAAATCAGTGACTAATAGATGAATTAATTTTTGCTTTGCTTTGTCCTCAGAAATTGGTGATCACTACCAAGAGCGTGGAGTTCATGCCTCTCTACCTCTCCGTAGCATCTTTCTTGAACGGAGCTTGCTGGACCGTCTACTCTCTCCTCAAATTCGACATCAACATTCTCGTAATATAATTAAGCACTCTCTCTCTCTTTTTATCTTTCAAACGCTCAGATATTAATTTGTGAGCTAGCTTTCGCATTGAAATCGGTTATATTTTATCTTGATCCTTTCAGGTTCCCAACGGCATTGGGCTGCTTTTGACCGTGGTTCAGCTCGTATTGTACGCCATGTACTACAGATCCACGCAAAAGATTCTTAGGGAACGAAAGAAGGGAGATATCGACATGAGCGACGTCAAGAAAGAAGACAACCAATCTTAGATTTGTTGTGCTAAGCGGCACTTGGATTATTATTAACGCTTGCTAGCTTCTTTATGCAACAAGCGTCTACTTACTTAAAAATAAAAAAATATAATAACATTATAAAACTATTAAGTGATCGTCCTAAGAATTGGATGACCTGATACTTGTAAGATGGATTAAAAAAAAAAAAATATTGTAACAATTTCATGATGAAATTGATAAGTTTTCCTTCGATAATTGTTTTCTAATACTTGAATGTGAGCATATTTCCGCTGATGCACGTCGTCCATCAATCTCACCCAAGAGCTTTTTTTTCCTGGTAAGATTGATGCTCACCTCGTACGAGAAGAAACTGACCCACACAATCCAAAATTTATAAGTACCTTATTATTGTACACACAACAAGTACACTAATGGCATCTGCGGATGCTTGGAAAGGTTCAAACCATAGCAAATTGTTGCTCAAGTGCATTATATAAGAATGGATACTTGATAATTAGCGTCGTCACGAAATCATTCGTTTGAAAATATATGGCAAAATGTCAACACAACTAAAGCAACATCAGCTTCTATTACCTGAAGGCTAGAGCAACATCGTGACATGCTGAAGAATTAAAGTAAAGACGTTCTCTTCACAATACACGCGACGAATCCCCTTGATGACAGAACAAAAGGTAATATAAGTCCTGTAAAAATGTGCTTTCAGATCAAAGTTGCAATATGTAATATACATGCTCATCGCGATTTTGGGTATTCTTTGACACTACAAATCAGATTCAAGTCTACACAACAGATCTAGCCAGCTCCGTTAGGAATTGTAGCCTCTAGTGATAATTCCTCTCAAAATCAAAGCGGAAAGCAATTAAAATCTAAACATAAATCCTGACAATATACTTGAGAAACAGAAATACACAGAAGAGGAAGAACTAAGCACTAGTCGATTGTTATTGCATTTAAAACTTCAAATTACACGTAGTATGACATAATAAGATCATCTACTTAAAACTTCAAATTACACGCAGTATGACAGAATAAGATCCTCTGCCATGGTCATAAAAAACAGACAGCAGGAGCAGTGAACTGAAAATAGCACTAGCGCGATGGCACCTGAACTAAAAGTACTTTTAACCACGGCCGCCCCTTCAAACACGGGTGAAGATATCAAAATGAAAAGCAACTAAAACAAACTAAAACCACCCCCAAAAATACTCTACAAATAGAATCCGCAGGTGATGGAGAACAAAGTGTTAGGCAACTACTATTCTACTGTCATTACAAAACTAAACTTTTAATTAACACATAGTATCATATAATAAAATCCAAGTCATCCATCACGATCATCAAAATAAAACTTTCACCAAGTAAATATGCCACCTTTCCGAACATAGTTCCATAACTGAAAATACTCAAAGAAACTTAGAAAAGGAATTGTACCATGATACCTTAACAGAGAGTACTCAAATATGCCCGTCTTTCTGAACATAAAGAATAAATCAAGCAAATTCCATTATCCACTTGCACCTATTCCATAATTCCCCTCAAAATAAAAATAAAACCAACTAAAGCAAACCACCACCACTCCCAATAATACTTGACAAACAGAAATACATGGGGAGAGGCAAACAAACAATTAAAAGATTATTATTCCAGTCATAACAAAATAAAACTTTCAGACTGCAAGCATAGTCTCATATGTTAAAACCACGCAGTTAGCAAAGATCATCAACAACAATCATTAAAATAGGTAGCAGGCACATCAGTAAACTGAAAACAGTCCTCAAAACTCAAAAGTTGTCGCCTTTCAAAAAAGGAAGAGCAGATATCAAGCAAATTCCATTATCTAACTGAAACTATTCAATAATTCCAAATAAAAAAAGGGGAAAGGGAAAAAATGAAAAACAACCAAAACAACCAACCAACTAGCAGAGTAATACTTGAACAGAATTCCCGAGGTACGGACGAAAAAGTTTGAGATCAAAACGAAAATCAACTACAACAAGCCCTTACCACCCAGAAGAACACGAACTATGAAAAGACTATTATTTCGTTACCTCACAAAATAAACTTTCAAATTACCCATAATGTCGTATAATACAGCCCTAAAATTCCCAAAGATCATCCATCACTATCATCAACAATTGGTAGTAAAATATAGTGAAATAGCTATACATCTCGTTGGACATCACAGAGCAAAACTTGCAAAGTTATATAGATAATCATACAATAGCACCCTAAGATAATGTATCACGGTCATCAGGAAACAACACAATAATGTCGGGATCACCCATTGCATGCCAAGAACAAGGAACGTTCTCCGTAGAAATATGCTTGGCAATATGATATTAATGTATCCGGTTTTCATTTCATCTCCATATAACAAAAGTCTATAATATTGATAATACAGAAGACAAACTTACTACTCAGTAAGCCAAAGAATGTTTAAGAATTATTAAGAAAAGCAGGACAATACACTATAGCGCACAATCCTAAAAAATTGAACATATGATAGTAGAGAAGGAAAGAGAAACAATCAAATATAGGCACAAAATTCACTGATTTCGCTCGAAATAGAAAGAGCAACCAGAAGCTAACTACAACAGTTCCCAACCGTATCACACTAGGATTAAAAAGTCGAAAAGAAACCGGCCTCAAGCACAATACACACATCGCAGTACAAGCCCTGAATTTTCCATCAATCTTTTTTTCACTCTCATCACAGAGAATCTAGAAATAATTATATCTAATCGATAACCGCACACAAAATCAAATTGACAAGCAACGGAAACAACCCACAAATTGTCGCAAGAGTATTATTCCACTGTCATCATAAAATAAAACTTCAAATTGCACACGCGTAGCATCGTAACACAACCATAGTAGCAGCAGCAGCAGCAACAGAGCAAACTGAAAATAGCAATAATAATAGTAGTAGTAGTAGTAATAATAAAGATACCATATGGGAGGGCGCGACGAATCTTCGTCCGTCTAGATCTTGTCGATGTCCTCGTCCTCGAACTCGATGTAATCGTCCCCGGCGCCCTCGTCCTCCTCGTCGATCCCGCCGGCGATCCCCTCGTTGAGCCTGGTGCTCTCCGGGAGCTCCCCGTAGGCCTTGAGCAGCCTGGCCTCGTCGGGCATGTACTTGAGGATGACGTCGGCCTTGTCGTCCTGGTAGTCGCGAGAGGCCACTGGGACGACTTAGCTGCATTTTAATTTTGTCGCCTGGCGCGATTTCCAGACCTTTCTTTGTGATCTGCCGCGGATGTGCAGAGTGGCGCTTGCGTTGGCCGTCGATGCACATCGCCTCGCACCGGCCGTTGCCGAGCATGCGGAGGACCTGGGCGTACTCCTGGCCGTCCTCCTTGAACACGAGCTCGCGCTTCTCGTCGTCGGCCTCGTTCTTTCCCCTCTTGCGGTTCTTCCCTCCCTTCCCCTTGTTCTTCGGCATGGCTGGAGACTGAAACGGGAAGCCCTAACCCTAACCCTAACCCTAGCTTTTTTTTTTTTTGGGCGTGAGAGGAGGAGGAGATTCGGGCTTCTTTCCCCCCTTTCTCCTTTTCGCTCGGATTGCGACGAGAGAGAGGGGGGGCGCTCGGGACAAGTTGCGTGGGTTTATAGGGGCATAAAGGTGAACCGACTTAGGGCCCAATTTTGCAAATTGGGCCTGGTCTGGATCCTAATCCAAGCAGGCTCAGTCCCTTCTTTCCTCTGGTTAGAATTGTTAATTAATTAACTATGATTTCCTCTTTTTTTTTTTCCGGTTTTTTTATTTATGATGAATTATTATGTTGTTTGTCCAGAAATAGTCTTCATATACTAAAATTTAGGACATTTGTTGATTTAGATTTGGTGGCTGTTTGGTTGGCATATAAATCAAGGAAAACAACCAAACATGCCCTTGGTATTCCGATATGGGGTTAAGATATTATTAGTTGTCTAGAATTTTGATTAAAGTTGTGATTTTAAAATCCAATCCTTCTCTGTGGATTCTGTCTATAATTGAAGTCTCAAATGAACAAAATTTAACTTTCATATTCGCTATAAGAATTTCTATCCCACGTTCTTTTTTCCGTAGTTGCTATTCAACCATTGTGAATAGGGAGGGGGACATCTTTCTTTTTCCTTTTTCATGGCTTAATTGCATTTAGATACCCAATAGTTTCTTCTATATTGCACTTATATACTGTTATTTATTTTTCGACAGCATTTACATATCCTAAAATTGTTAAAACTTTCACCTAAATATCCTTATTTTTTTGCAGCACTTATATATTCCTAAAATTTATAAAACTTACACTTAAATATTCTAAAGTTAGTAAAATTAACACTTAAGTATCCTAAAATTTTTGAAGGAGCGTTTTCTCATATTTAGTCGTCTTTATTTCCCCATCTTATTGGCTTGGAATTTGTTTGAGGTGGAGGGATCGCGTGGGGGTTACGCAGCGGGGTTATATTCGGGTATCAAAGTTAATATCTTTGGGTCGGATTAAAATAACCCTGACGGACCCGTTATCAAAACAAACCCAACATCATTCGGGTCGGATTAACATAACCATCCTGGAACCGCTTATTAAAAAATTAACACCTAAAACAATTCCTCTACCGGCGACGAAGCTAAAATCAAAGGTTCATCACCCCCCTCTTCAAGCGGCCGGTAAATTTCCAAAACCCTAATTCCTCAATCTCCATTGGTCAGATCTCCATCACGCCATCAAAAATCTACCGTTTGATTCGCTTGCAGTGTTCGATTTCGCAGATCTGGGAGCGATGATGATGGATGGATCCGCGCTCAACATCAAGAAATGGATCGTGATTTACCCCGTTTACATCAATTCGAAGAAGAAGATCGCCGAGGGAAGGCGCATCGGCGCTGACAAGGCCTGTGAGAATCCTACTTGCATCGAGATCAATGATTGCTGCCAGCATCTTAAGATCCCCTGCGCAATCGAGGTACAAATTGATCCTAATTTGTTTGTTGATGCAATGATTTTCATAAATATTTTGGTTTGTTCAATGAGAGGGGGAAAAAAAATCAAACGTGAACACTTGGAACGAGGTTAGAGAGGCTGTTGTTGCTGATTGACGAACTGTCATTTGGTACTAATTGATGCGAATTTGTTTGATGCAACGAATTTGGTAGAAGATTTTAGTTTGCTTGCTTTAGATAAGAAAAGTCAAACGTTTGAGCACACAAACATTCGGAGATTCGAGGGGCCGTTTTTTTCTTCTTCTGTTATTCGCACCAAAACGTATGAAAAGTTTTGTTTTTGTTGATTTTTTCACTGCTTATCGACATAGCCCCAAGTTTGTTAAGGATTGAAAGTTACAAATACATTGGAAGAAATTTGGAAGGACAAAGGGAGCTAAGAGGGTATATTGAGTGGATAGTTTTTATTATTCTTTCTCATTCGTCCAATTATTCTTTCAGTTCATATAAAATTCAAGGCAAGATATCAACCTGGTTAGTGCATTCTGTTTATTTGAGAACGTAAATAGTCTTCTTTTTTCAGCTGGATAAAGCATACCCGCGGGACTTTATGCAGAGAGGAAGGGTGAGGGTGATGCTGAAAAGGGATGATGGTTCTCCTTATAATCCTGCCGTTGCTTCGAGTAAGCATTTGGAAATAATGTATTTTTCTTTACATAAATGTTTTTTATCAATCACCATGAGAAATAGAAAGCGACTATCTATCTCTCTCTCCATAAATTTTCTTTTGCTTTTGATCCATTTTATATTTTCTTTGTGAATAGGGTTTGTATCAATTCTTGAAATATTGGGCCATGAGACTAATTACTACAATGAAATAACTAATACTATAAGCTTTCTTTGTTATAAAAGAGAACTTGGTTTTGATGTCAAAATGTTGTTTCTAGTTATACTTAGGTATTAATGTGATAACCAAACAGTTATGGAATGTGTTGGTACCATAATCTGGTTGTTAATGTTGTCTCTTCGCATAAATACATTTCCTAATATTTAAATTTGTAGTATACTCTAAAACAAGTAGTAGACTCCTTATCGTAACCTCTAAAGTCTGAAGATAAAAAAGAGCATGTTACATGTGCTGATCGAAAGAAAATAATGAGGCGCACCATGTTAAATGCTTCAAGGAACATTTCAATTTATGTTAGATGCTTCAGGGAGCATTTCAATTTACCAATCGCATAAACGTTGATTTTCATAAAACCCTTCACAATCAATTCTCAGTTAAGATTAAAATGCTTTCTACTTCTCAATTACACATCATCCATAATTGCCCAAATATCTCGTTTTTTGTTGTATCTGATTATGTTGTATAATACATATTATGCGACATTGTAGCTTTGATCGGACGCATCATGTGCTTTGACTATACTGAGTTATTTCATATTGGTAGCTGCTTTACTGAAGGCATTTGTAGAGGGAGGAGAGTGTGGTGTTGCTGAAAAAGGAAGATGGGTGTTTTATATTTCATGATTCGTTCGAAAATCTTGAATTTGCATTAGGACTGCACTTTATGCGAGCATGTTGAATTTGAAATGTGTTAGGATTACTATCGTCTTGTTTGCTTAGATGGAATAAGGTGTAAGAGTCATGTATATTTAAGTAGTAAGATGAAACCTTATGAGCTATAAAGCTAATGCTAATTCCAATCAAAAGGGTAGAATGATGAAAGTGTCTCTCACAAACGTAGGAGTAGGATGACATTTGCATGAATATTCTCGGCAACTGCAACACCCCTAGATTAACAATTTTATCACACAATCTTTATGTAGTTTAGGATGTGTCCTTAAGCTGCTTATGGCAAATAATTAATTGTATCCTGAAGCAAAATAATGAAGATGATACATCAAAGTTTGCTTCAATTTTGTGTGCATCATTGGAAAGTTGTAGGCAATTGTAGTAAGGTACAAAAAGTGCTAGGCGGCCCAGGCGTCAGACCTGGCTCTCCAGGTGGGAGATTAGACGTTCTCTTTTTTTTTTATTTTTTGATTACGATCAATGTTATTGAAAGCGATGCACGGCTAGGTGCTGGACTGGTGCCTAGGCACTAGGCCTCGGAGGATTTCTTTTGTTGTTTTAAGTAGTGGTGGATGATGTTTTACTTAAGATCGGAGGAGTTGGAGGAGGTGTTCGTAGTTGGTGGAGGCCGGGGGAGTTCGGAGGAGGTTAGAGGATGTGCAGGCGGCAACAGAGAAAATTACAACCAAGATCTAGCGGTGCAGTCCACGTAAGCACTCTCTGCTCTCATTGGCGCTCTCAAGACCTAGGCGGGCAGAGGCCAAGCAGCTTAGGTGCCGCCTAGGCCAAGGGTGAAAACTTTTTAAATCATTGAACTGTGGTGAATATTGGTTTTGCATTTGAAGCAAACAACTAGATTGAATACCTAAAATTCATAACAGATTTTGTTTCATAGGCTTGACCTAGGAAAACATTTTGAAAACTATGTGATGCGAAACGGGACAGGGGGTCTATCAGAGTCAGCGATCTAAATCGAATAACGCACCGTTTTGCCAAAATTCGTGATTTTCGGTAGGAAATTAAATTTAAACACTTAATGTGACTGATGGATTTAATGAGATTTGCGTCAATAATCATGAACAATTCCAACCTTAAACAATATAATCGTAATATTCATCATCATTGTACCAGTTCCACAATCAATATCAAATTTTCAACAGTCACATGTTTAGTTACCCTCAACTCATAAATACTAATCTAAGCATATGATAATAGTTTAGAGACAAGATACTCATGCAATTAACTAACCAAATGAGATAAACAGAAAATAAAGAAAGCGAAACCTTTGTCGGTCTGAACAGACTCGACGTGAGAGACGACGTCGAATTGGCTGACGACGCGGTAGCGAACTGAGCGACGATGACGAATCTGAACAACGACGGTGGGGACGACTCTGAGCAGCGACTAGAGTGACTACGTCGGCAAGGACGACGGGACGATAGCGATGTGATGATCCGTGGTAAGTGACTATGGTAGTGGTAGTGTTCTCTGGTGGGGAATTTTGCCAAAAAGTTGGTGTACATGAAGGCGACAGTTGCTGGGAAGGGAGGCTCGGTGACGGTGGGAGTAGGGTGGCTGCTTGGGAGGAGATGATGACACTGGTGGTGTGGCTGTTTGGGAGGAGATGATGGTGCTGGTTGTCGGAGGTGGAGATCAGGGGCGGCTTTAGATGTGGATCTGGTGGTTTGCAGGGAAGAGGAGGGTTTGACTAGCGGCTGGAGGAAGAAGACACAGGGAATGACCTAGGGTTTCACACCAAAGGTTTCACACCAGATTTTAGCTAATATAATTTTTCATTCAATAATTCATTATTCCATTCGATTACATCAGTCCCTTAAATAGAGAATTATAGAATTTTAAAACCTCACAAAATAAAAATCCCTCAAATCACTCAAACAAATTCCCTAAAATCACTCAAATGCCAAAATTAAACCAAAATTCAAAATTTAAATTTCAAATTTCAAAAAATAAAAATAGAAGAAAGTCAACTAAGCTAAAAATGGAAGATTGTGAATTCTTGTCCTCATCACTATGACTGTAAAGTTTATTAGAGGAACTCTATTCTTTTACATATAAAATGGAGGATAATTGACAAATAGTACTTACCAATTACCACTATTCTAGTGGAATTGCGATGAATGAATAAAATAGATAGAAGAATAGTTTGTAAAAATTTGGCTGTTTGAAACTAAAAATAAATGAGGTATTGTGCCTTTTTGTTCTAATAAAATGCAATAACATAGAACTGTAATTAATCACTTTTATGCAAGGTGCCTAATTCTATGGAAAACATTTCTGTGCTAATCAAGATAAGTTTCCTTACCCATCTGAGCCTCACTTTTCTCAATCTCTTGTAATCATTAATTTTGTTTTTCCATATCAATCATTGGCATGGACCAAATTATCTAACTCTTATTAGTAGTGTCATTCTGTTTAGACCACAGAGTTTTAAAATGAATCCCAGATAAGGCTCATGAAGTCTTTTTTATGTAGTAAAAGTTCCGTAATCCACTTAAAAAGCTTGAAGTCTTTCTTTTGCCTGCTTCAACTGCTTCTAGTGTGCTTAAATGTATTAAAGGTCCCAGGCTTCTAGGTTCTTATTTTGCCTAACTCAATTCTTCTAGATATGACAAGGAGCTACAGTATGTTGTAGAAGACACTATGATTTATGAATTATCATACATACAGACTTTTTAACCTAAATTCTGGAATTCTCTCTTTGAATAGATATCATGTTTCTTGAGATGTATGATACATCAATAGTTCATTGGAAAATCAATAGGTAAATAAATGCATTTCCTCTGGAAAGTATGCACATTTCAATCAATCTATCTCATTCACCAGTACTAAACAAAAAGGAATTAGAAAGTCCATGATACATTAAAATTCCTCATTTGCTTGCTGACATATTGTCGGAGAAAATTGTTTTGCCAGACTAGATACATCATGACACAATCTGGCAAATCAAATGCTTAAGCTCATGCACAATGTTTTGATACTATTTCAGTTCTCTTCCGTTATTTATATAGTTATTTCTAACCCTCCGACATGTCCCGAATGCATATAGTCTCATGTATGTGTATGATGGTGTCTGATAATATGAGATGCTTATAAGCGTGCCCACCTACATGAAGTGGTGATAGCTACTGTTGATAACTGATAGAGGAAATTATATCAACTATACGACTTTGCATAATTTAAAATGCAGGAGCTAGTTTTTGAGCACTTTCCAATGCTAACATGACATCATGTTCCTAATTCTCTCATTTACTTGTCATCTTGTTTTGTGGAGCATTGGTCTTGTGGCCCGTGACCACCCTTGTATCTTGCCTCGTCTCCACATGTAGATGAGGTATGCATAACTGTATACATATCTACATAATTTAATGTAGGCTAAATGGCACTTAAATACCCTATTGTTTCACCATGTTTACACTTAAATACCATAAGTTGTACGAAATAGCACATAAATACCCTAAATTGTCCATTGTTAGAATATTAAAAATTCTGTTAAAAGAACTTATTATGACAAAAATATACCTCCAAAGAAATGAAATGTAAAATTTAATAAAAAGATGGAGGGTAGGTATGGTGGTAAATATGACAATAAATGATGTCAATACAAGTACATAAATGTTATGTGCTAATAACATGGGAATATTCCTAGGAATATTCCCACGTGCAACTAACAGAAGGTATTAAGATGCTAGTTTTTTACAACTTAGGGTATAAAAGTGATACTTTTTTATAACTTAGGGTATAAAAGTGATACTTTTTTATAACTTAGGGTATTAAACTACTACTTTTTACAACTTACGTTATTCAAGTGTAAAGGTGGTGAAACAATAGGGCATTTAAGTGCCATTTAGCCTTTAATGTATCTGAACTGTCACTGTAAAACCTCTCAACATGAGTGATGGTCCCCACACACGCACACAAAAGAAGAGTGGTCCCTCCCTTCCCTCTTTCTGTTTGCGTGTGTCGATCGTTTTATGGATTCTTATTTTTCATGTCCCAATTATTTATCTTGTTGGAACCATCCTTTATCCTGGCTTGGACAGTGAACGATTTAGAAATCAGGTACAGTATTCACATAGGAAATGGTTGGATTGTGTCACATAATTGTTGTTGATACGCTAATAAGCATTTTTGTCCAAGTGATCATGTCACGATGATAGCTGTGGAAAATTTCTGTTATATGTGTAGCATGTAATGTCTTCTCAAGCCAAATAAGAAGCATACCATTGCACAAGATATCATATATAAATTTTAATTGAATTTCATATCAGTAATCCCTTGAGTTTGGGTTTTAGTGGAAACAGATACATTTCAGTTGTTTTTATTGGTTGTTGAGGGACAATCTAACTACTGCAAGTTAGTGGTTTGTTTTATATGTAGGGTAATATTTTTTTAACGATATAATCAGCAACTGAAGCATGAACCAGGGTTGGAGTTGGGGTATTTTCTTTTTTGTTTTCTTTATGCATTTTGAAGGAGGTGTCACAATGGTAAGATTTGAGGAAAAGCTTCTTATTAAGAGTGTCACAGTTAATCACACCTCACCACATGTATGAGCTGTTTTGAGGAAATAGCTATAAACAATAATTATGTGTATGAACTGTTGTTCTTTTCTCACCATAATACTCGAAATTCCCAAGCAGCATTTTTATTTTTATTTTTACTAAAATATAAAACCTCTGAAGCCATCCATGGCGGCACTAATCATTGACTTTCTAGGTTCTAGTAAGTAGTAAGCTGGTCTTTTCTACCTATTCCCTGCAATCATAAACAATGGTGGATCAAACACTAGCATCTGAGCCCATATAGTTATGTGTCAAGTAACAAACTCATATTTATACAAGTTTCATAGTTGCATCTTACATGGTTTTCTCTCTGAAACCTGATAGTCAAGTTATTCCTTGAGATCGAGTATTACATGCTGTTGCCTTCTATCTTCTTGGTTTGGGGGGGGAACATTGAGGAGCATCTCTCCATTTGTTGAGAAGTCTACAATAACTCCATTGCATTACCTAGGGCTTCTTTCCTAGCTGTTAAAGAGTATTGTTTGCTTGTCCATTGGAATTTTAGGGTATATTGCATTGTTGGTGTGATTCTTGATACTGGGATTTGGGCCGGTTTGACAAGTAAGCAAACTAGAATTCATTTAAAACCCCAGAATTTTGTTTCTGGAGCCGTTTCAACTTTTTGAGAAGTTGCTATAAATGGGTTGGATCTGGGTAAACCATATGTATGGTCCAAATCCAAATCCGATGGGAAAACTAACTCATCTGCATTGAAATCAGAATATGATAAATGTCACATTTGTGTTCAAACCAGAACTTTTAATGAGCATCAGATTCGGAATTTTATTTAAGCTATTTTAATGATATTTAGTTTTTAAATCTATAAGCTAAAAATCTGATATTAGGCCAAACTCTGCTGTAATATTCTAGATCCCAATTCCGATCAGAATTTGATATAAATCCAGACTTTCAGACTCAACCCGACCTAAAAATCAGATTTTATCATCGTGTTTTTGGTTACTACTTGCAGCCCTAGTGTGTAAAATAACATTGCACTTCTCACAAATCAAAGACTTGTTAGGCTTTCACGGGAGTTGTTAAAGTGTTCAAAAAGCATAACATGAGAATTAGTATATAGCGTACTATTGCTGCTTGTATGCTTCAATTTTTGATGAACACAGTGAGGTTTGTATTTATTTTTTCAGAGAAGCAGCTGATGCTCCGTGTTGCAGAGTTGGTGCCTAAACATCCCGGAAGGCACAAGAAGCAGGAAGCTTCGAACGCGTCAACTGCAGGGCCTTCAAAGTCTGGAAAGGGCGGCAGAAAGAAGAGATAATGTGTTTTTTTCTTCTTTTTCTTTTGCTTTGTCCATCTGTGGTCACTCTTCTCTGAATCATATGGAAAGCAACAAAGAGATTTGTGCACAATGTGCGTATCTTTTACATTTATATCGCAGAATTAGCCATGTGAAGTCGAGGACTAGATTTGGTGATCACATCTGTAGCAACTGACAAACATTTTGGTGACCCCAAAAATTTGGGGTTGTAAGCGTTCTTTTTTTTTTAGAGTTTAAAATCAGCTTATATGGTTATGGCCTATAACATCTCTCAGCCATTTACTTTCTGATTTTATTGTTTTTCCTCGTGTAATAGGACAATATTCTTGTGTTCGTATCAGTTAGCACACGAACCACCAATCTAACTGTTTGAATCAATTTCTGAGACGTCGCGTACTTGCTGCAGGATTGTCTTATAAATTGCTAGATTTAGGATTTAAGATGAAGATAATTTTTCCAGGGTCAAAGAAGCAAAAGACATTAAAAAAGAACTTTAACAAGAAATAAAGGTTTCACATAAATTTTGATTCGGAAGTTAATTTCTACACCTATAGTAACTTACATAAAAGCAGTGTCAAAACTTTTAATTTCCCAAAATGTCCTTCAAAGTGCACCTAAATCACTATATTGTACTCAAATTAATATGCAACACCAGTTTAATTAATCAAATTAAATATAGTAACAATAATTATTATAGAAAACCATAGTCCTTCATATCAATCAATTACATAAATTTTTTTTAAACAATATTATGTGCACTGAAATACATAAGCGCTATACACTAAAGGAGAACCCTATTGTACACTTGGCAAAACTATAGAGCTTTGACTCTTCGAATTCCCCTCTCTCCCTATTCTAATATGGGTTTATGAATTTACTTCTCTTTAATGGTCTATAGGAGTTGTAGAGGGTCGCACGTATCACCTCGCTATTTCTTTTGTAAAGGTAACTAATCGTTCTTTAAAGCAAAACGTCTAACGATTAATATGCAGTAATATAACTATTGCATCCACCTTCTTTCCATGAATTTTATTCATGTCAAATTAAAATTAACCTTCTTTTTCCGAGTGTTTATATATTTACTAAATTTATAGGGTATATATATATATATATATATGCTTGGTACCAAGCACAAAATTTGTGCTTGGTAGTGAGGTGACATATTATCCTCCACCCATTCAAATGGGGGGGACCACATTCACATGAGTTGAATGTGGTCCCCCCAATTGAATGAGTGGATGAGAATAAGACACCTCACTACCAAGCATAAAATTTGTGCTTGGTACAAGCATACCCATTTTTCTCTCATATATATATATATATATATATATATATATATATATATATATATATATATATATATATATATATATATATATATATATATATATATATTAATGGATATCCTTGTCATAGGAGGGGATTTCCTCATTGACGCCTATGTGGCACAATCCCCATCATCCTCATAAAGTAGGAGAGAGAGTGTGAGTTGGTGGGAATTTGTGCCTACTTTATGAGGATGGTGGGGATTGTCTTAAGAGTTTTGATACTTGCACAAGAATTCAAAAATATATGATATCAGCAAATTGAAATTGGTGTATGAACAAAAAATTATAAGACCTAAGAAAGCACAATCATGAGACTACATACAGAAAGCGATATATACTTTTTAAAACTCAAGAAATAATATCAACTGAAAAAACATAATCACTAAAACTTTCAAAAGGTAACATGTGAAAGCATTCTGATGATACAATGAAATCTAACATTTGGTTAATTAGACTAACATAACTTTTATCTGTACGTCATGTACTCCTTCATATTGTTTTGCTAACATATATTCTACACATTTTATTTTTATTACATTAATTTGGAATCTTTTAATACGAGGTCTTCTCTCATTAATTAGTACAATGCCATTAATTGACAACATATATTGTGAGATCCTACCTTGAGAACACATGCATAATAAGTCCATCCATTATTTATGCAAAGAGATATAAAATTATCAGAGAATTTAAAAATATGGCGATTACCACTATTCTGGAGTTTGATTTAGAATTGGCTTTAAATATTGTACTAGAGCCTCCAAGCATAGTTCTGAAAACAAATATTGCCGCTTGGTTATGAAAGTTTTTATCCGTAATAGAAGAAAAAGGAGAAAAGATTGCATTTTTTTTTTGTTATTTTCATAACATCAGCGTTTATAATTCAACTTGTTTTTTGTGATTGTCATTATGTATCCGGTAAATTTCATTAAAACCCCAATAATTTTCAGAATGCATTTTTATGTTGTTTTTCTGTTTACATATAAATAATTAAAATATAATATATAGCTTAGTATTAATTAATTATATTTTCTAAACATTTATCTATGGTGTTAATAATATTTGCAGGGTAATAAAATACATGGAGTTATGTACGGAGAGACTATCAAAAAGTTTATAGTTATGCTTCGAAAGAATCAAATTATTTTCATTTCAAATGGAGAAGTGAAAGGAATAAACCCAGTTTTTCCAAGTATCCACAAGTCACTTGAATTAGTATTAACAAAAGACGTATCTATCAAAGAAGCACCAACATGTTTCCACTTAGAGAACATATTGAACAACTTTGTCCCCATTTGAAGAAGCATTTTCCATGAAAGATGCAACAAAAATTAGTAAGTACTTATAAAGTTCTTACTTTAATCTTCAATACACAATGAGACGTTAATTTATAGAATCATAATTTGTTTATAAAATTACTTGCAGATATTCTTGCAATAACAACTAACGTGAAGCCGGTGATCAACTATATTACAAAACATAACAAACCAGATAATAGGAGGAAAATCATGCTAATGGATAAAAGGTATATTCATGATACTTATTTCCAATATCATAAGAAAAAAATAAGATTAACGTACTTTCTTTTTTCATATATAGTGAAATGACTATGCGCGCAACTTTATTTGGGGATTTGGCTACAAATGAAGGATCAATTCTTGAAACCAAAATCAAAGATAAGCCTGTAATAGCATTATCAGATTTTAAAATCTCTATATATAAATGTACATAATTTATTACTGAAATTCTTATTAAAGACAACTAAACATAAAAGTCATCCAATAATTATCTTAATTTTGTAGGATATGATCTAATCACACTAAAAACATTAGAGGGGGGGGGGGATAACATTTTATAAAATTTTATGTAAAGTAGATAATAAATTTCAAAGAAGAACAATACAAACAAAAGGATTTATACTGGTTCCACATTCCTGGTGTACATCCAGTCCCCAAGCAAATCCCGCTTGAGAGTTTCCACTATGATTTTGAATAAACTTACAAAATCAAAACACAAACCTGATCAATTTGCAAGACCATGCAAATTACAACCAATCTTTTCACCAAGAGATTACACCTCTCACACTTGAGAGAACACTTGTCTTGATACAACTTGATTCCTATAAGCCTTGATAGTATTGTGATGTGTAGCAGTGGCTAGGAATGTTTTTAATCTTTGAAAATTGCCTATCTTGATTGTATATTGAATGAGGATCAAAGGTAAAATCAGAAAATTATTTTTATCAACACTTAGTGAAAATCTGGAAAATTTTCTTTTGAAATATGCACAAAACTTGAATCTTATGTATAGGAATTCATGACTCAAAATTCTGAACATATAACCTATTTATAGCCTTGAAATGATAGGTTTTCAAACCCTCAAAACGTACACAAAACCGCTATAAACTGTTTTTAATTTGAATTCAAATATGTCAGAAAACTATCTTAGTAGTCGACTATAATGATCATTAGTCGACTACTCGGTAAAACAGAAAGTCTGGAATTTAAAAATTAAAGCTGAGTAGTCAACTATAATCCTTAGTAGTCGACTACTCTATAAAACAGATGTTCTGTAATATAAATTTCAATGCTCAGTAGTCGATTATAGTTAGTTGTAGTTGACTACTCTGTAAAACAGATTTATGTAAATCAAAATTCAAAGCTGAGTAGTCGACTATAATCCTTAGTAGTCGACTACTCTGTAATTTTACAGAAACTTATATTTTGATCTTAAATTTTAGTAGTCGACTACTAATCTAATTAGTCGACTACTAAAAAGTTAAAATGTTATGTATAAATTATTTTAGACTCAATGATTAACTAAATACTCTAATGGTTAACATAGGGGATTTCTATTGTTAACCAACACATTAAGCCTGTGTTAATGTGTTTTAAACTCTATGTGTGTGTATGTGTGAGTGATCAAGGCTTGTACAATATTTCTAAGTGAAGAAAATGTAAAAATTATATTGATAAATAAGCTCATCATCTTCTTTACTTCATGATACATTGAACTCATCTTGCACTTATTCATGTTGAAATCTGTACTAAAATGTTAGTGCACAATAATACACATAGTGATTCATGTTATGAATAAATTGTTATGATCAAAATTATATCATGGGGACATGATATCCAACATTCTCCCTCTTTTTGATGATGACAAACAATTTATGCATATGTAAGTATATTTTTTAAAAAAATTAATATTAATAAACAAATATACTTATTCCCCCTGCATAAAAGCATATTAGAGTCTACAATTCATATTTTTGATTTTGTATAACATAATTCTAATATCATTCTCCCCCTTTGTCATTAACAAAAAGAAATACACATCTATCAGCATGTCATGATTTATTCTTCATGAGCTAATACTTTAAAATGATCTTCCAAATTGTGAACATAGTCCATCACTTCACCCATCCATATAGGTAGGTAAAGACTTGCCATAAATATCAAAATTTCGACAATTTTTATCTTCACAATCTGTTTGTAATAAAAGTATCTCATGAACAGAAAATATAAAATATAAACCTAGTAAGCATGATTAAAAGAAGCATAAATTCATACATAGTCATAAGCAACATAAACACAAAAGCAACAAACAACATATTACATAAGTCTTAAAGCAACTAACACATAGTTTTTGACACATAAACTTAAACAAACCAAGATAACACAGTTTTTAATATAAACATGAAACTAAAGCCAAACACTACATGACGCATGCATGTTTCTCTAACATGAAGGTCCTGGAGGAGGTTGATTTCCTTGGAAGTAGGCACTGAGCTTCATGTCCAAGGTACCAATCTTCATATTCATTGTGTAAAACTTCATTTTCAGAATATCAAATTTGTTGGTTAATGCTTCTTGACTTTTCAGCATAAGCACATTTTGATCATACAAAGCTTTTTGACCCGATTCCAAATCAAGTATTCTAGATGACAT